AGTGTTCACGACCACATGAAGGAGCTGGGATACATAAGCAAGCTTGATGTTTGGGTTCCGCATGAACTCAAAGAAGTTCATTTGACAGCATGTATAAACATCTGCAATATGCTCATTAAACGTGAGGAAAACGATCCTTATTTAAGCGACTGATACCTGGTGATGAGAAGTGGATTGTTTACAACAATGTGATGTGCAAACAATCTTGGTCCCAACGTGATGTTTCACCTCAAACGACATCAAAAGCAGACATTCATCAGAGGAAGGTTATTCTCTCAGTGCAGTGGTATTTTAAAGGTGTTGTGTTTTTTCGAGCTCCTACCAAGGAACCAAACAATCAACTGGAATGTGTACTGTCAACAATTGGACAGTTTGAATGAATCCATCATCCAGAAATGTCCAGTGCTTGTTAATTGTAAAAGAGTTGTGTTCCATGCAACAACGCGAGACCACACACAAGTTTAATCACCTGTCAAAAATTATTGGAGCTTGGATGGGATGTGTTGCCACACCCACCATACTTGCCTGACCTTGTGCCATCAGACTTTCACTTGTTTCGCTGTCTTCAAAACTCCTTGCGTGGTATAACGTTCAATTCAGATGAGGCTGTAAATCAGCACCTTGTTCATTTTTTTGCAAATAAAGACAGGTCCTTCTATGAATGAGGAATTATGAAGCTCACTGCAAGATGGCAAAAGGTTATTGAACAAATGGGCAATATATCATTAATTGATCTTTGTTCTTTATATAAATAAATGACCTTTGAAAAACATAGACAAAAATATGTCATGACTTTTCCAACAACCGAATATCAAGCAACTCCTTAGTCTTTTCCAAATCAGGATCCAAAAGAACTTATTCATCTCCTCCTTATCTGCCTAAGAACTGAGTTGTGCCATATAAAATAGTCAAGAAGAGCTAGAATCTAGAGGGAGAAACTATTATACTTGCACCTGTATCTTCGCCCCCCCCCCAATCCATTCAGTCATAAAACCTTTATTTGACTAGTGCACACAAGGTTGGAAGTAAAAATGGCAAGTGAAGAGAAAAACTAAAGGTGAAATATTAATTCCAAAATTTATGTGGGGACGCAGCGTTCTTGACAGAAACGAGCTCTTCTGTACCATGTGTGCAACAGAGATTCATTCCAGGCTGGATCCCTGTATATCAGGATATGGTAAATAGAAAAGCACGCGGTTCTATTTTGGGGGTAGATTAAGTGAGAGCCATGATACTTACATCATTTCTGAAATTGGCACATGGATTCCTCATCAAATTCTACATGGGGATGAGGGAAATGAGCTTTGCATGTGATTCAGATAATCACAGCCAGTCTAATCTTTTTGAAAGAGGCCTCCTCTTAACATTAAGAAATTTAACTAGTTCCGTGTTTACAGGTATTCCCATTAGAGCTAGGTTAGCACTGAGGATAAGGAATAAGCTCTCTTACAGCACCCAACCTACCTTACCTATAGTAGGCATTTTCCAAATACATGTGTTGAGCTAAAGACGGAGCGAAATCACTCACTTCCTTTCTACTGCCGTCATTCTATTAAGTGTGATACACAGGGCGATTCATAAGTAAGTGCTTTCCTGACACTTTGATCTTTTGGGGAAAAAAACTCTGGAAGAAAATTTGGCTATTTTCTTTCTACATTATGGGTTATCTTGGCCTTTGATATAAAACCTTCTCCGTCTAGTGAATATTTATCCCTTCACTTTATTTCCATGCTGTTAGGAAATAATACTTTTATGATAACATTCAGGAATGGTGTGGCATCACATCACACATGCATTTAATGTACACAGGGCTTTAGCATCTTAACTCCATTAAGGTGAGACCGATGATGCCCAAGGGGTGAGAGCAGCAGCTGTTCCTTGGGGCCACAAAAGGAAAGGCCCGTGAGGGATGAGTGACAGGCAGCAGGTGACCATGCTCTTGCAGTGATTTTTTTTCAGAGGTGAGACCCATCAATCAAGATTTAGAGCAACAGCCAACCAATATTTTCTAAGTACTTGCTACATGTGCACCATCATGCCCTAGTTACTTTCATATTTTTTCTTCTTGAATTCTCAAAACAGCCACACACATGATATGTATTAAAGGTTATAGTGGCTTAATATTAAAACAGGGTGCAGTTAAACTTGCGGGCAAGAAGCACTTCGAAATGCTCTATCCTTGCCCCTTTCACACTGGGAACTTGAGAATTATCTTAAAAGAAGAAAGAAGTGAATGGCCTGACATCCACTTAAAGGCTTTCCCTTTATTTTTTCCTTTTGTCTAGCACCATGGCTCGCAATCCTAAAATGTGAATGTGTGTTACTGGAAGCACTAGGTCACACACTCGTACATTAAACTTGAAGTGTGATAAGGGAGTTTGTGATAATTTTGAATACAACAGATTTTTGCTTTAGGCACTAACTTTAAAACTAACCCTTAATTAACAAAAGACCCCCTTTATTTTATTCAAAATAAGCAATAAAAGTTTAAAATATAAAACAAAATTCAGAAACAGTGGTTATTGCCAAGTGGCATTTTAAAGTGTTATTATGGAAAGATCAAGAGAGTAATTCAGACCCTCTTTCCTAACATCAGCATCTTGGCTCTGTTGCCAACAGCAGAAGAAAAAAAAAAGGATTAGATAAGGAAGAGTTCTTCTGGTTCAAAGTTTCTTTAATAATTGTTTTGTACAGCTGAAATAAATAAATAAATAAATAAATAAATAAATAAATAAATACATACATACATACATACATACATAAATACATAAATAAATACACAAATACATAAATAACCCTCAAAACTGCCTGCTTGAGACATGAGCAGACAAAGCGGAAGAACGGATTCGAAAGGGACGCCTCTGACCCAGGCCACCAGGAGGAGGCCAAAGTCACCCAGCGATAGGCTCGCCAAAAAGAAAAAACACAACAACAACAAAATGCTATCTTTCTTTTAGGGTCCTATATAGCATAAAAGAAATCCCTCCACCTTTCTCTGTATCATTTCTCACTTGTACAAAGGAAAGGTGGACACTTATTTTAAAAAGTAAGTTTTAAAATCGCACCTTCTCCACCTAAGATTAACAGGCTTCTTAGAATTGTCCCTTCTTTCTTAAGCTTCCCACAGTAATTTTTTTTTTTTTTTTGCCACACGGTGCCACAGCCTGTGGTTTCAGAACAGGGGCCTTAGGGCCAGACAAATTGAGTGCAAATAGTAAATCTGCCACTTAGTGTAAGTATCACTTTGCATTATTTACTTAACCTCTTTGAGACTCAGTTTCCCGGTCATGTAATAGGGATAATTTCTCGCCCTCCCCAGGGCTGTAAAAGACAGTGTACTTCAAACTTAGGAGACATTCAAAAGTATTTTGTTTACTGATGAAAGGTAATCACGAAACAACTAATATAGATGGAGCACATAGTTCTCATTAAACTGTAGTTATTATTACTTCCTATCAGCTGCTAGATAAATGGGAATGCTTTTGTTTTAAGCATTCTAACTAAGCAGAAAGAGCAAATTGAGGAGACGTGATGACATTGGTGGAAGAACAAAATATCAGCCTATAAAGAATATGACAGTATTTGAGAGATTTCTTTTATTAATTCAATTTTTTTCCAGTTCCAATTCTGCCATTAAAACCCACCCCCTAAGATAGTGACTAGGGCAGGGGCCTGCATGTTTTAACACAGCTCCACAGTGGTATCCTTGGCTTAAAATTCCCCATAATATCAACTCAGCCTTGCTCCTCTGGTCTCTGTCAGGTCTCCACGGTACTAGACTCACAAGACCACCTGTCGCATTGCTCATGAGCTTTCTGTAGGGTCTTGCTACGCTACCTGGGAGGCCCCTGCTAATCCTGCTGGCTTCCAACTCAGCAACCAGGAAGGGTAGACTTCAAGGCCCCCCTGACAGAGGCACTGTCGAGCTTATTGGGATTGGAGTGTTCTCTTCACTGGTATGATGCATCCTGTGAGGTGTCTTCCCGCAGTGCCAAAGGGCAACATGGCAAGAGCTCCCTTACCATTCAGTTTCCTTCAGCTTCCCAAACTCATCTCCCGCTCTCCAAGCCCACGTTCAGAGACGGGATCTCAGGAAACCTATGAAGACCATGGCACTTTGCACGCTCTCCTTTTTCCTCATATTAACGCAGTCCTCTGGTACTGCCTTTTTTATCATACCCTCCTACATCTTCATGCCACCTAAGCCTTAATGACCAAAAGGATAGTTCCTCTTTACTCTATGTTAGTGCTGTAAGCTTAATCCCCCATGCTGGGTTGTTGATTTGCTAATAAAGGAAGAAAATAAAAGAATTCAAAACTCTTCTCTCAAGACAATCTCTTGTTTTGCAAAGGCATGTTTTGTTTTTTTATGCATAATCTTATTTGCATATCAGTAGCTAAATATTACCTTGGTCTTTGTCTTTGCACGGCTTCAAAACCAAATTCTAACCTTCTCTGTAGACAGACGGATGCCTCAGATGGAGCAGACAAAAATTCTTCTACTTGGAAAGGCAAGGGCAAAAGCACATTAGTAATTTCTTGAATATTTCCCTACAGGGTTTCAGGTTCAAAGTGCAATTTATTGGGAAATTTCCTTTTAAGAATATTACAGAGACATTTGAGTTTATGAAAGTCTGCATTATATTTTAAAAATACCTCATCTATTATTTGTATGCAGTACAGAATGTACAAAAACTAAAGCTGGCCCTCTAATTCTATACAGTTAGAGCTGAGTTAGTTGTATTGATACGTTCTCAATGTAAACTGCTTTGGTAATTTTATGGTGTTGACACTTATATATGCTGAACTAAGCTATGATCAGTTTCCCTAAATGGAGCCTTAAACCTATACAGCTGTTTTCCAAGACTAAACTTGTTGTTTTGGGTCTTGATTAAACTAATAAATTGAATAGCCTGGTTTAATCTCTAGTAGTTCATGTAGACATTGATGTAGATTTTAAACTAGAAAAGCAGAAAATGAAAGTATGTTTTCTTTGGCAGGCATTTGATGTGCTTGGAAGAGTTGAAGCTTATCTTAAGCTCCTTAAATCAGAGGGTTTAAGTCTGCCTGTCTTGGCAGCAAGGCATGAGGAGTTACACAGAGAAATTAAAGAGTGCACAGCTGATGCTTTGCAGAAGGGGCAAGCCTTAATCAGCCAAGTAGACTCCTGCAGGTGAGTAAAGTCTATTTCTTCCTCGGTGTGACAAGCTTTTTCAGTTTCCACAGCCTGTTGAAAAATAAGTTGCATGATTTTTTTTTTCTTCTGCTTCTAATACTATGACATGGCTTTAAAGGATCTATTGAATTTTGGTCAACTGTAATTTTGAACTTAACATTGCTCATTTATAAGTGAGGCCATATTCCATGCCTGAGGACCAGAAGGTGCTAAAAGCTCCCTTTCTATGATTTTCTGAGGAAGGAAAAGGGAAGGACAAGAGAAGACACAAAGCTTTAGTTTCCAATGTTTTCATATCCTGGCACTTCCATGGGGTCTCCTCCCTTTTAATTCATGAGCCTTCAATCTACCCTGTTTCTTTGTTTCTTTCCGGAAACAAACAAACAAACAAACAAACAAACAAATAAATAAATAAATAAATAAGAAAGGACCAGAATTCTCTTTCATATATGACTGTGGTGACTCACCAAGCAAAAAACCCCAAACAAAAGGTGACATTGTTAATAATAATAATAATAATAATAATAATAATAATAGCTCACATTTGCTGAGAGCCCAGCATGGGGCAGACACTGTGCTAAGTACTTTAGGAGCATTACCTCATTAATTCTCACAGCAACTCTACAAGGCACATACTATTAATGTTCTCCTTTTACAAGTAGCTGAGACACAGAGAAGTTAAGTAACTTGCAAAAGGTCACACAGCCAGCTAGTGGCAGATCCAGGATTTGAATCCAAGTGCATGAACCCTAGAACCCATGCTCTTCACCATTGTGCTAGGGCTGGTTGTTTTCATTAGCACATTTGGTGAGTATATCATTCTGAGCTTAGAGTTGGGTGTGAATAAGGAGAGAGAAGGACTTTGAGAAACAGAAAGAGAATGCAATGGGAAAATATGAGAAAGGATAGGGACTGGAAGACAAAAGGGAGATGACAGAACAGATAGTAGAATAGATATTGGCCAAGAAGAAATGAAGGCAGAGTTTACATTTTTACAGAGAGATGTGAAGATTTGTGCAAATGGGTTAAGCCCAGTTTTTTATCTCCCATATTCACAATCTCCTTGAAACGTAGAGACATTCAATTTGAGGAACAATGAAATAGTGGAATGTGGTTAAAATTATTCTATTTCTGTTTCTGTTTTGTTCTATGTTAGATGTGTTTAAAAGTGTAAATTTGGTAAGTTTGGGTTTAGAGAATTCCTTTCCAGAAGGCAGTCTAAATCTGGACAGGGATATTTACTCAGGGTTTGTGATGGTTGCTACGGAACCATGCAAACCCGAGATCAGAAATAATCCGAGGTCTTCCAGCAGTAGCCAAAAAGCTGAGGCTATGAGAAGGGCAAATGATTCTCCCCTTTGAAAAATGAGCAATAACAACTATAGCTACTACAGTGCAATTTTACTACAGTAAAGTTTCTTTACTTGAGCTCCAAGCCGTGCATTGAGTAAAGGTGTATCCACTTGGCCCCCGAAGCCCCACTGTGCCCATGTCTGGCCCCAAAGTGTGGTCCAAGAGTTTCTTCCTCCCTCCTCTGCCCCAAGCGTAGTCTTCCAGAAAGCTTAAATGTCCTGGACTTTGCAAAGATATCCTACGGGTGGCACAGACACTTGTGCTTGGACTCGGGGTAGATGTTTGACACTGATCTGAGTCATGTGACGACTGGATTTAGTGAGGCCTCCAGTTATAATTGGGGAATGGCCCCATGTCATTATAGTAAGTTGGTTTGACAGTACAGATAGATGTTATTTTTCTGTTCCGTCCACTCTTTGCTTGGAGTGCTTTTCCTGCCCTCAGGCAGTTTCCTTTCATACACAGAGGCAGCCAAAGCTCCCTCCCACATTTCTGGAGATCTGTCTGTAGTACGCTGCCCCAGAAATTCTAGGTGTCTGGCCTTCCCCAAGTCTGATCTCTATCCCGTCAACTCAGCAAGACCTCAGGTAGGTGGGCTCCACCTACCTGAGTTTGGTCTGGAAATTACCTTCCAGGCAATAAGCTGATGCATTTGTAAGCTCACCTCTTTCATTTTCTTTCTCTCAGGGATCACTGTTCTGTGCCATCTGTTCTGCAATGTCTGAGAACCATTGTTTCATACATTTTGTTTATTTTCTAGTTGTTTAAAGCATGTCAGTAAATCCAGTCCCTGCTTCCTGGCCAGAAGCCAAAGTTCCCAATTCCCGTTTTGATGTTTAACTCCTGGAGTTGGAAAGCTGGTCACCATTTTTTGTTGCTAAACTTTATACCCTTTGCTCTAATCAGCAATGCTTTATTTTCAGTGCTTAATCATAAGAGAACTGCTTTTATTTTATAATACATTCTATCTTTAGGGTGTTAATGACTGTTTGGGCCATTCCCTTTGTAATGGTCAACACATTTACCTACTTAGCTAGTCTCATTCTTTTTGCATTCTTTGCTCTTTCTAGTTTAATTTCCCTCTCCTTCTCTCTCTCTCTCTCTCTCTCTCTCCATATATATGTGTGTGTGTGTGTGTNTATATATATATATATATATATATATATATATATATATATATATGTAGTTTTTCAACGAGACATCTATAGTTCTATTTTTCAGTCTGCAGAATGAGTCTTAATAGAAAAATCAATAGTTAGGGACCATTTCAAGAAACTTTAATTAATGGTCAAGTAACTGGATTTTAAAAGTAATTAGTAGTACGGTTTCTGTCAACATCCTAGATATATGAGCTTTTACAGTAGTTCCAAGATGTTTGGCTGCCCCGAGATTTCACAATATTTTACAAATCAATACTATTTCCATTTTCTAGGAGGAACTGAAGGTAAGGTAAAATCGTTACTTGGCAAAGGATATTTTTGATTCAGAAGGTAGATGTAGAATAAAAATCCATTAAAACTGAATTGAAATGCATTAGAGTCTCAGTTGCAAACTCGAGCCACACTTAGACACTGACCTCAGTCCCATGCATTCCATTTGGGATTTGCTTCCCTTCTTCCGCTAATGATTTATCTGTTCAATGACCTGAGTCACCATCAGAGGAAAGAAGCAAAACCTAGGAAGGAGTTTACAAGTTGCACCCACTGCTGTAGTGAAGCGGAGTTTAGCATGATTGCTGTGGAAATTAATGTAAATTTCAGCAGAGCAAAGTGCACATTACTAAACATCACAATGGCTTCCTAGGCTTCTGAATGACAGCCCCACTATGAGGACACATGACACTAAGGTTCCCAGTACCAGACATTTGAGACTGGTGTGGGTAAGAAACCTAAGACTCAGTGTCAAAGGAGTTTCATTTCAGGCATTCTGAGGACCAAAACTATGCCGTTGGTTTTAAACTTAACTCCTGTGAGCCTCAGTTTCCTTATCCATAAAATGAAGATATACATTTCATAGAGATTTTGTGTTTTTCTTTTTTTGCTTTAATCAGATGAGACAACACTATTCTTGGCACATAGAGAGTGCCCAATAAACAACTGGCTCACTTATATTTTTTACCTTCTATACAAAGAGCTTTAAAAGGTAAATACTGAGTCACATCGTTGTTTCAAATTATTACAGTAAAGTCAGCTGCACCAAATCATATATTCATTGTCACTAACTGAGGAAGGTTATATTTGAAGGACAAACATTTATTATAAGGTAATAAAAGGCAGACTTTAGTATCGGGTCCGGTAGGAATTTCAGAGACCCTTAGATCTGATTTTTTTTTCTTAGTCAAAAAAAGAGGACTTCAGAAGTTCACATTTATCTGAGATGAAGCTGCGCAGTAAATCTGAGACCTTTGTCATTACTGTTCTGTAATTGCTACCTTATTAGGAACAGGTCCACACTTTTCCTATCCTGGGATCAAACACCTTTGAAATTGGAGCAGCCTCACCGAATAAATGGTTACTTAAATGTTTTCTTGCCTTTCCTATGTCCTCCCTATAATTGGGTGATAATTCTGAGTCCTTAAATAGTTTATTGTCTTTTCAGCGTATCTCTGTCACAATCTACATACACTTGAATTTGGAAGGCATTTTAGTGCATGCATTTGCACTAAGTTATGATGCAAGTTACTTGGAGTAGTAAATGACAATGGTCAGAATCAGCCTTACAGTGAAGTTGAAAGTTCCTGGCTTCCGGTCCTCGCCTCCTCCTAGGCCTTGCTTGCCATCACCTTTGAACTCAGTCTAAAGATTGACCAAAGGTGGCCTGCTACCAAGCAAAATTCTGCATTTTTTAAGCCACAGGAAGCTGTAGTGATTGGAAGCACTCCTTGTGTGTGAGGGTGAAGTTTTCCATAATTGGACAAAAACAAGGGACCCCCTTTTTTATTTTTTTGTCAGTGTAGTTACCAATTCAGAACTCAAAGACATGTAAACACCCAGCAAAACCAGGCCACTGTGTAAAGTATTCATTTGCCCTTTTTTGTTTACTAAAATTAACTTAACATTTACAAGTAAATTTGCTTCAGTATTGACTCAATTTTCTATTCCTGCATAGCAGACTGTATCGTTTTTCATCCTTCCTTGTTATGGTGAATTTAAGCTGTCAATGTAAGAAATGTTCAAACCTGTAGAGAATTTTTATAGGTTTATTTGAGCCAAAGTGATGACATATGCCTGGGAGTAAGATCTCAAATGCTCCTGGAGAATAACAGTTTGGAGTTTCTCTTATGCATTTGGAATTTAGGAAGGAACATAAGGAAGATGACATGGATGTGGGAGAAAGTAAGGCAGGGATTGGATTACAGATTAGTTAAAATCATGTGCTCTCCTGAGGGTGGTTATGTCTTAGATGAGGGGTCTGAAGGTGGTTCACACATTAGAAGGTGGTGTCTGAAAAGAGGCATTTCAAAGGTGTGTTAACTTAGATGCACAAAACAATGAGCAGGGCTTGCTTAAGGCAAAAATAAACCTTTTACTGAAAAGTTTTAGGCCTGGGACATGACTACTCACCATGACCTGTGCAGTTAGGGATTTCTGACCAGATCACCCTGTGAGGTTACTTTTTGGTCCACAAAGTGTGTACAAGACCTC